GAATACCAGCGTAAAATAGCAAATTAGGACTAAGTTTCCTAGATTATAGTAATGTTAATACCACAGAGATGTACTGTACAAAATTACATTTCTTTTTAAGATAATAAGTAATTAAATAAACTGGAGAAAAATTAAAGGCATAATATAGTGTATGTAAATAAAATACAGTGGATTGGGTAATAGTAGTTCAAATGATTTTCGAGAAAAAATTAAAGCTTTTTATTGAAAAAAATAATGACTGTCGATATCTATATTTGCTTTGCCCACCGCGCGACCATCGTATGGCTGCGTCATCGAGCGAACGAGCTAGGATGTACAAAAATGATACAATTTTGTTTGATAAGCAAATGTGTTGAGTTAAATAAAATAATAAAGTTTTCGTATTGTATTAAGTTACATATCACAATAGGCACACTATATTTAGTTTAGTTTTCTTTATTATTTTTTTCTCCCAAAAATCAAAAATGTGAAAGCATAACAGTCACCTAGGTCTTGATGAGCGCTTTCAAATGAGTTCAAATACGATCGCCCTATCTAGTGACGTCACTGAGATCCTATACCCACCTTCGGATTGCACCATCAGAAAGATGAGATCATAAGTCACATAGGCCTTTATGAGCCCTTTCAAATTAATTCAAACACGATCGTTCTATCTAGTGCCGTTACTGAGGTCCTTTACCCGCCTTCGGATTGCACCATCAGAAAGGTGAGATCATAACAGTCACCTAGGCCTTTATAAGCCCTTTCAAATTAGTTCAAACACGATCGTTCTATCTAATGCCGTCACTGAGATCCTATACTTACCTTCGGAGTCCACCATCGGCTAGGTTATATCGGCACAGTCGTCTAGGTCTTAATGAACCTTTTTGAAAATGAGTTGAAAATAACACGATGGTTCTACGTAGCATCACTGAGATCCTTTAAGCGGGCTACATACGACACGATATCGGTGGCGATCTAGGGTGGAGTAGTGGGGATGCCTCCTAGATTGCCTCTAAATCGTGTCGTATGTAGGGCCATCCTAAGTCGCGGCCGATATCGCCTCCTTAATCGGCTGGCAGGAGCAAAAATGCTTCCTAGATCAGCCGATGCTTCCTAGATCGGGGCACCGCCCCCTCCTTATTGCGTGTGTGTAGGCGCATCGGCCCGATTTCTTTTGGCAGTCGCTGCCGGCAACCCTCGCGGAAGGAAGTTAACAAAACGGTGATACTGAATGACTTTTTTATATAACAAAATTTTTACATTTTAATCATATAAACGGAGTAGAAACCTATGGCACTGATATTTTACGAAAAACCAAAAAAAATAAATAAAATAAATAAATTAATTGAAATTTTATCGAAATTCAAATCATATCCACCCTAGCCTGTGACCCTGCGAAGTGACATGGTCAAGAATGCCTACTAAACTAATTTTTTTATTGTCGTTCGTAAAGAAGAGTGTATGATGTAAGTAAGGAGAAGATAAAGCCTCTCCTCAACAACTAACTCCTATTTCAACGCTATCAACACAAGACCGCACTCATATCTCTTACAACTCCACAAGACCACACTTCGATCTCTTACGTGCCTTCATCCTCTTATCAACAACTAACTTCTACTCCTTCACCATCTCCACATCAACAAACAAGTTATATAAAAGGGAGTATGTCCGAAATTAAAGGTTTCTTTATGTTTAAAAAAAGATATAAGCTATTTTATTTTCTGATAGTTTTAGTCCATAAATAAAGATTACATTAAAAAAAAGTATACATATTATTATACAAAAGTATTTTTTTTCCTTGTTTGTTGTGTGTAATACATAACCAGATTTTGACCAAAGCAGAAATGAACAAAGAGAAGAAATAACTAAATAGCATAGGTAGGAGAAATTGACGTTTTTATATAAGTGGCGAAATCATTTCTAGAAGGTTATAAAAACTGTCTTCATCCATTCGAAGAAAATTAATCACGTCCTTGAATTACAGGCCATTTAGTACGTTTATGTGGCTTAATTTTTATCTCTTTTGGAGCCATTTTTTCACCCAGCAACTTCTCTTTTTATATTTTCGAATAAATTAACCGAGATGGCTAATGCCAAACCAACACGGTGGTGTTTTAAGAGAGTCGGAGGCATTTTGAAGAACTCTACCGCATATGCATTCCGCTCCAAGTCCGAATGCGTACTGCTAGGCAGGCCCGTGTGTAGAGTCTACCCCGATAAAAGCCCCGATTTCTTTCCACCCTAGATCGCGACCGATATCGTGTCGTATGTAGCCCGCTTTACCCAACTTCTGAGTCAATCATAAGGAAGGTGATCATAGTTACCTTAGTCTTCATCCTCCGCCAAACGAAATGCTCTAAATATATAAAATAATAAAAGATCTAAACAGCATATAAATATTGTAAGTAGCTACTAAGAAAGTAAGTACTTACCAGCAATTAAAACGAACTGAAGCCAGCGACGGCTGCACGAGATTACGGTGCGCCCGGAAAATTCCGTGGAGTGCAGTCAGTTAAAAATTTCAACTTAAGATTTCATATTTACGATCAGTTTTTGGATGTACGTCAGTTCAACTGCAGTACGCCTGAAAAGTCCGTGGGTGTTTTGTGTGTGTGAAAAGCGTAAGGTGTTTTTGTCAGTTAAAAATTTCAACTTAGATTTCACACTCACGGTCAGTTTTTGGATGTACGTGAGTTCAACTGATCATTTTAACTGACCGTGTATGGAGACCATTACAGGGAACGCCTGCGTAATTAATAATTATAGTTCTGGTAGTTAGAAGCAGCAAATGAAAACATACAGATGGCGTTGTGGTGATATTCCTAAATAAGAGTTTAAGTAGGTGCAAAAATAACTTCAAATGTAAAATAGAATTGAAAAGCGTAAGGTGTTTTTTTACTATTTTTTATAATAACTCAAGTTTCACAAATAACTCAATAAAAAAATTACAACGATTAATATCAATTAGTCCATGCTTTTTTTTACAATGAAACAAATTTTATCGTTTATCAATTCACTGTTATCATGAGATTATTTTTGATAAATAAAAATTATTTAATACTATTTACTTTAGTTTGTATTTGAAGCTTGTTTTATGAATTTTTCGAAATATAATTTATCTTGATAATTCCTAAGCAGTTGGAGTATGATAACTTTCATTGTGTTGTTATGATATAGAATCTTCAGAAAAGAACTTGTTGGTTAAGTAGAAGCTTAAAAATGAGGTTGCACTAGGATCAACCGCCGCCTGTCTCGCCGCGGATTTTGTTTTAAATATATATTATATTAGCTGGCCAGGCAGACAATCACAACAAACAACGTAATATATATATATATATATATATATATATATATATATATATATATATATATATATATATATATATATATATAGTTGAAACGGATAGCTGTTTGGCCTTAAGTCTTGTCTGCCGAACATTGCCGTTTTGTGCATCGCAAGGAGCGAATAGTAAAGTCAGTGCAAACTGTTCTGTCAGTGAAAACTGTACTGTCTTTTTGAAGCTGGCCTTGTTAATGAAGACAGGCGAAACCACTTGTTACGTATCAATGCAGAGAAATTAGTATTTTTATTCACCATAATTTGCCCTTAGCTACGTAGTACTATTATTTATTCTGTGCCTAAGCGCAGTACCTACGAGTACTAATTTTGTAATTTTGGGCCAGATAGGCCGATTACCGGATAGTTACCGGATATCTGTTTTATCTCGAATATATATATATATATATATATATATATATATATATATATATATATATATATATATATATATCAACATCAACATTCAACGTGGTAGAGCCATGCTGCAGTTATATTATTAGTTATATTATGGTTGTAGCACGAATGAGTTGCCCCGACAGCGGAAGAACCATGCTCTCTCAGAATGCCAGTGTAATGCTGCTGTGTTTCGTGTGGTGTGTGTAGAGAACCGGCGACCCTTTTTCCTGGAATCGAGGCATTCCATCTTAGTGCTCAGGGGTGACAACGCATTTGCATTACTCAACGATATAAAAAAAGTATTCATATATATATATATTTATATATATATATATATATATATATATATATATATATATATATATATATATCATAGCTGGTAAGATTTATGTTCAAGTCAAGTGGCGTTATTTAGCTTTAATATCATCATCAATTTTTTGATTTCTCAAAAAAATCTCGTATTTCTTTTTTATATTTCTTTTTTTTCTTTTTCGGATTTTTTTCCGGATAAAATTTAGCCTAGTTTCGTTACAGTCAGTTTAGACAAACATTTTAAAAATGGCATGCGAATAAAAGCTCAGCACAATAAAAGATAGGCTTCGATATTATAGATAGAGATTTTAATTTTATTTATATGTGTAAATGTATCGACCTTATCGGCTTTTCTCGTAAAAACTAATTGCACTGTAATAGAGCAAGATCCCGGGGTCACCAGACGTCATTTATTTTCTGACACGAACGAAATGTGTAAGATTGAGTAGTGTTAATCTACTATGATCGCAATCCTACCTGCTAGCTTGGTCCGAAGGCCATTTTCCAGGTGCATTAAATCATTAATAACCTTACGATAATTCTCCTAGGTGAATGTTACGTATATGTTGGATAATATCGTTAAAATCAGTCATCAACACTCTCAGACACGCCGTCGGCAGTATTGCTTTGCAGACGCTTTAAAGCTTTCAAAAAAATTTACTCAATTTCATTTACATTCTGAAGCTCCATTTTTTATTAATTTGTCAATTATTTTAAAACTTTTTTATAAGAAGACAGACCGATCTAAGAGGTCAAACATCACCTAGACCCAATGCCTCTGTGGGCATGTTTCACTCACGCTCATGCGTGCGTAAATTGGCCTCGCGCTCACTCACTAAATGACAAAAGAAAGAGACAAATCTAGCCATAATTAATACTTAATTTAGGTAAGCGATAATTAACGATTATAAGTAACGTCGCTTAAGCAAAGATAATAAAGTTTACATAAAAAATACGTGAATATTTTCAGGATAGCAGTTTACCATGTGCAGTGTTTGTTTTCTCCGCACAAAATGTTAGTAATGAACAACGAGATGTAAGCATCACATTTACCTGGACTGAAGTGTTAGGAAGTCCAAACAAAAAGAAAACAATTGGTGAGTTTAGTACAGTTATTTATTTAAGGAAATATATTTGTGACTCATTTGATATATATGTTTGATGAAGTTTTTATTAATATATAAATATATATTTATAGCATTTTTGGATAACAAACGAGCACACAGTCCACCTGATGGTAAGTGAATGCTGCGGCCTATAGACAAATAACAGAGCGTTAACAAAATAAATTCCGATATATTAAGCTAAGTAGCAGGAGAAATAACAGAGTATTTGTCAGTAGACACAGTTATGGACACAGAACAGAGCACTTCATATCCCGTAGAGTTTCTAAATTCTCTAGAGTTGTCAGGTGTGCCCTCACATAAGCTTCAATTAAAATTAGACGTCCCAGTCATGCTAATGCGAAATTTAGACGCTCCTCGGTTATGTAACGGGACAAGGCTGCGTGTGACACATCTTTGACGGAACATAATCGGTACTACAATTTTGACAGGCGTAGAAAAAGGTGAAAATGTTATTATACCACGGATCCCTATAATTCCCACAGATGTTCCTTTTAAATTCAAAAGGGTGCAGGTCCCTATTAAACTCAGTTTTGCTATGACAATTAATAAAGCGCAAGGGCAAACGGTAGAGGTAGCGGGGGTCAACTTAGAAAAACCGTGCTTCTCTCATGGTCAGCTGTATGTAGCATGTTCGCGTGTGTCAAATGCCCAGAATCTCCACATTCTTTCCCCGAATGGAAAAACATATAAAATTGTGTACAATCGCGTCTTAAAATAGTGTTCAGATAGTTTTTTTTTTTCCAAAATTCCCACAGTCAATTAATCAGAATTCCCACAGATTTTCCCTTTCAATTCAAAATGTCCTATTTAGCTCAGTTTCTTTTCAATTCCAAATGCTCCGCGCTGCACCTCTGACGGACCTATTAAGCTCAGTTTTCTTTCAACTCAAAAGGCTGCATCTCTGACGGATCTTTTATTTGGCTCAGTTTCCTTTCAATTCAGAAAACTGCATCTCTGACGAATCAATTTAGCTCGGTTTCTTTTCAAAAGTCTGCATCCCTGACGGATAATTATGCTCGGTTTCCTTTAATTAAAAAAAATATCCCATTTCCATTTGTAATAAACAGGCTATTTTCATGCTTTCCTATACGCTGCGTTTCAAAATATTTAAATAGGCTGACGAATCAATTTTGCTCAGTTTCCTTTTAGTAGCTGCATCTCTGACAAATCTATAAAACTCAGTTTTCTTTCAATTCAAAAAGCAATGGATAGTTCATTTCCCAGTGACCATGCGGGCGAAGCCGCGGGTAACAGCTAGTATTGAAAATAAAGTTTTATCTTTCGAATAAGAACGTACTTATTCGGTGTCGTTATCACTCGAATCTTTATTTATGTGTTATAAATTAATGGTTTTTGTTGTTAAATAAATCAAGTACTTTATAACAATAGATGTTTTTTCTTCTACAGCGATCTTTTACATAACTTTTTAATATATATATATATATATATATATATATATATATATATATATATTTTATATATAAATTATTATAAAAATAATATAAAAAATCATTATAAATAAAGTACTACATATAAAAAGTGCCTATATATTGAAGGTTTGTTACCCCTGGTTAAACGACCGAAAGACCATTGTCCGTTTTTCTCAATCGATTTGGCACGTACTGTATAAATTGTGTGTTGAGCAGGGTTGGAAAAAACCCGTTTTTTTTAAAAAATAACAAAACATCATGTTTAAATCTAAAAACAAAAAAAACACGTTTTAAATCAATTTTTCATAAATGTTTTATTTGAAATGTTTTAAACAAAATGTTTAAAACATTTTTTTAAGACTTTTAAAAAAATGAGTTGTTTTGCGATTGGGATAAATAAGGGGAAGGTAGAAATTAAAAGAAACGATAAAATATGAAAGAAGTTTTTTATTGTAAAACAATACACCAGAACAAAAACAGTACTTATTTCTTCAACAAAAAATGAATAAATAATCAACTCTGTCTAACCTGACAGTGACAATTATTGACATAGACATATGAGGTGGGTAGATCTAGATCCTATCAAATCAATTTTATTAATTACGTTTTGTTTGTTATTGATTGACTAGGTACTTATATTGATTGTATGATAATGATAGAACTGTTCATTCCTCGACCTCGTCCTCGTCCACGTATGATGAGCCTCTGCTGCCTGGATTGAGCGCCCTCATTACTGTAACCAATTTTGCTGCTTTCTCGGTGCCAAGTCTGTTTCGTAATTTAGAGTGCACCAGCCCAAAAGTCGAAAATAATCTTTCGATTCCGGCAGAAGACGCAGTGGCTGTATATAACTGATTTGTGAGATCTATCATTCCCGGATCTATTTTACTTCCCAGCGATCTCCACCACACGGACACATGAGTTCTTTTTAAAAGATCTTCCTTAAACATGTAGTCTTTAAATGGAAAACTCATCGCACGGTACGTGAGGACATCTTTCATTGCCTGCAGATAGCTTAAATCTATGAACTCCATACCCATTGTGTCTTCTTCTTCATCTAGTCCTTCACCTCTATATTTGGGGTCTAATATATGAGCGGCAAAATGTGCAGGTGTCATTGCAGCGTTATATCTTGCTTTCAGCTTGTTGGCTTCTTCTAGCAACCAGTTCGACGAGAGTAGGCCCTTCCATATATGTGTACAATCGCTTAGGACACACATTTCCTTCTGTACATAATCAAGAGCAATTGATATTTTTTTAAGTTTTCTAAGATAGTTCTCAACATTTTCTTTTAGTTCAACATCTTGAATATCCCTTGCGATTATTATGTCTATTACAGACCTGTGTTCGCTGCACACTTTAGCAAGACAATGCCATTTACTGACATATGACTCGAGACAGTCTGCTAATGTATTCCAACGTACATCTTGAGGTAGTATAAGCGCCTTTCCACCAGCTTCCCTGTACTTTGCTCCAGGAAAATGATGATACTTGAAGTACTTTATAATTTTTTTTATCTTACTTTTAATGTCCACTTGTTCAATGTCTTTGGCGAATAAATTCAATAAATGAGCAGAGCAACCATATGTGATAATATCGCCTATCTCACTATCTTCCAATTCCGTCAATTTTCTTCTCATCTTTGCCATATTGGCAGCGTTATCTGTTACAAAGCTACGCACATGGCAACCAAATCTTTGACACTTTTTAATGTTGTCGACTGCCAGAGTCAAAAGATAATCACCAGTGTGACTTTTATCAGTAGTATCTATTGTATCTATATAATTAATCCTAACTAGTTTTTTTTCGTACTTTTTAAAACTTTTTATTGGCGATATTATAATTTTAAGGTATATTGTAAATTGTGATGGCAATTGTAGCTGGCGGCTGACGGGGATTACCCCAGCAGACTACAATGAGCGAACGAGTAAGGTATTTTTCCACTCTGAGTAAATGGGAAAGGGATGAAGATAGTTCGCTCCGCTTGTATTGTACTGCGGTATTTTTCTTAGTGTCATTGTAGATTATTCAGTGAGACTGTAATGTCTAGTGAGTGATAGATAATTTGATTGAGTTTCGTTCGTTTAGTATTTATTTGTTTGATTTATTATCAATCTGGAAAACTCTGGATCTGCAGTCTGCCTGCCTGCCCTTCCAAAAAAAAAAAAAGAATGTGTACAGGACGAAAAAAGGATTCGCTTTGGCAGTACTTCACAGAACTGCCTGCATCTACAACAGGGGGTGGTGCAAAAACACTCAGGGTGAAGTGCAAGTATTGCGGGAAAGACTTGATAAGGTTAATCGCCCGAACAAATTGTTCAGTTTATGCGGCTAAAAAGTCAAGCCCATCGACTTCGACAGCAATTCTTGCCAAACCCACAATGATTCAATTCAAACTTAACGTTTTTTATATATGTTTTAAACGTGTTTAATACAAAATGTTTTAAAACGTGTTTTAAACAGGTATGTATTTTTTTCGTTTAAACAGTGTTTTAAACACTTGCTTTAAACAAATGTTTTAAACATTGCCAACCCTGGTGTTGAGCACTGTCTGCTGTTTCTCCAGCACACATAAGTACTAACTTCATTTTAGTAAAAAAAACGATAGATATGTATTGTCAAAATGATCAATTATCAACCAGACACATTTCATTGGCTTACGGTACATACTTACATACATACCTGATGAACAAAATGGGAAAAACAAATAAAACACTATGATAAAGTGGAATGTTATTATTAATTATCAACGATGGATTGCGCCGATGCCAATTGCAGAACCATCAAATGTCAAAAAATATCCGTTTCTATTTTTATGCTAATTAATCTGCACTATACCAAGACTATTAAAGAAATACTAACAGATTAAATGAAAAATAAAATAATGCATAAAATCCTGAAATAGAGTTGAATAAATTAAAGTAGCAGTGTGTAAAATGGAACGTCCTAGAAAAAGGGTAGTTGATATGCGTTCAAAATATAGTATTATGTTTACCCTTGACGTATAATAAGCTTAATGAAATATTTAAAATGTTTTTTCCGCCGTTTCTTTTAACATTGTGAAAAGCATAATTAATTTACAATTCATTTAGCTGAATTTTAAGATTTATTTCATTTCTATAAATAGTTGTGGTATAATAGATAATAGGTGAAAAATGGTCATCTGTCTTTAGGTTTATTTTTCAAAATACACCAAAATTTGTATAAATACAATAAGAAACAAAAAAACAATATTTATTTTACACACACTGGTCTATAAAATCCTGTTATTTAAATTATTTATTGTGCGCGCTCGCTAATATTTTTGTTACTCTCCTTTTTTAAATAATTGAGGGTTACAAATGAGTACACAGTCCATCTGATTATAACTGATTGTAGTGGCTTGAACTAAGATGGCATCCCTCTAAAATAGGGAAAAAGATCTCTGGCTCCTTACATACGGAGGGGGCGAAGGAGACCACGTTGTTTGACATTCTCATGTCATTCTCGAGTCAAGCGGGATAAGCTTACTGTATTTTAAAGTATGCGTGGGTGTGAACTTAATTTTATTAATTACGGAATTCCAAGCAGGTGGTACTGTACCCAGTCGCCTTCTCTGTTGGAATTAGGATGTTTTTTCAATTTAATACATATGCTGTCAGATTTTCAGACAATGGTAAGAAAATAGCAATAAACTATATGTAGCACACGGAGCAGCAAATGGTTTAAATAGCCTCATTAATCATCCTTGGTAGGAATGGATGTTCTTTTGTGAGGATTTGTGGTCTGACAAATTTGATGTGAGATCTTAGCCCCATCTAGGATGTGATTACAAAGTCCAGACTTCCAAAGCTACTTTTAAATACCCTTTTAAAAGATTTGAAAGCACAGTCTTAAAAAAACTACCTTCATTTATTTGTCACGACATATTTAGTGTTAAAAATTAATTATATGAAAATGTTTATATGATTTACTTTGTTTTAGGTAAACTAGATTTAGAACGGTATTCAGAGGAGTACACAAGCGGCGTGACGTTGGAGCAAAAGATAGCTGATACGCCATGCACATTTACAATTGCCAAAAGAAAATGTGATACTGAAACTATCCACGACGGTTATTGCTTATGGAATTCCACTAAAACATCGAACTACGTTTGGGAATGCATAAAAAAGCATGGAAAGTTACAACCTGACCCAAACCTAACGCCGCCGCCGCCTAAATTACCAGATAAAACTGAGAAAAGAAGCCAGAAAGAAGAAAAGGAGAAGGCAAAAAAAATTTATAAGTGTAAGTGACCAATCCAAATCATTATCATCATTACAACCTATCACAAGTCCACTACTGAACATAGGTTTCCCCCATAGATGTGCCTTGTAAGACACGAGGTGAATATTTGCCATAGCTGCCACACATAAGAGGCGGCTTCGCAACTGCAGGTTTTCATTTTGAGTTGTTATCAGGAAGGTATATGGGGATAGCAGCACCTTCCTCATAACGGGGGGGGGGGGTGCTGCTGCACATCTCTTGATTCGCTTCCCTCTCCCGCCTTTTGTTACGGTAGTAGAACACAGCCCAGTAATGATATACATATTACGATTATATTTGTCATAATATTATTTGTTTTAAGCACTTGATAGTCTGTTATATTGCTTCATTATGATAGGTCCTTGGCGTTTTGTACGGGAGGAATATAAAGTCATTTTTTTTTGTAAAATATATTTTATTAATCAAAGTAGTAGTGATTAATAAAACAAAGTATGCACCGTTGTTATCTATGCACTTTTGCCATCTTATAGGTAGTTCATTGATCCCTTTACTAAAAAATCCATGGGGGCGGGAATCAATAAACTCTGAAGGCGGTTTGGACTGCCGCATCGGAGTTGAATTTTTTTCCTTATAACAAGTTGTCCGAATTCCGGAAAAAATGGTAATCTAAGCAAGGTCCGGGGAGTACGGTGGATGTCGCAGACATTCCAATTGTAGGTCATCTAACTTAGTGGTTGTTTGTTGTGCAGTGTGTGGTCTTGCGTTGTCGTGAAGCAGCAGTGGCCTAGAGCGATTGCCCAATCTCCGTTGTTTAGCAGCTAGTTCTTCCTTCATGGTTTGCAGTTGCTGACAATAGATATCTGCCGTAATCGTTTGGCCAGATTTTAGAAAGCTGTAGTGAACGACATCGGCGCTAGTCCACCAAACACTCACAAGTAACTTTTTCTGAGTTAATTTTCGTTTAGGGCAGAATCTGGCTAGGTCTCCAGGGTTTAGCCATTGAAACGAGCGCTTCCGATTATCGTACAGTATCCACTTTTAAGTAATGATTCGATTTAAAATCCGTTAATTTTTGTGTCGGTTGCGCAAAGTAACACAGCAGTCGACGCGTGTTTGCAAGTTCGATTCACTCAATTCATGAGGTACCCATCGTTCAAGTTTTTTTACTTTCCCGATTTGTTGCAAGTAGATTAATATAGTTTTAGCACCTTGAAGAGTTTTTACGGAATTTATCGCGTATATTTAACTTTTTAAATACCCGACGTCTCGAACGCTTTACAGCACTCATGGTCACGGGCAGGACTGAGATGTTCAACGTCCATAAGTCATAGTTAACCGCGGTTACCATAGATTAAAATTTAACTTTTGTTCCGATCTATACAGTATGAACTTATGGTATCTTGAAGTCTTGCAGTTGTATGCGTGGGTTGGGATTTAATTTTATTTATTATAGGATCCCAAGCAGATGGTAGCACCCAGCCATCTTCTCTATTGAAATTAGGATGTTTTTTGATTTCAATAGCCTCGCGAATCATCCTTGGAGGGAATCGGTGTTCTTTAGCGAGGATTTGTGGTCTATCAAATCTGATGTAGTGACGGGGGCGATCCTGTACGTGTTCACAGACTGCAGACTTCCCAGAGCGTCGATTCTTCACATCAGCTATATGTTCTTAAACGCGGGTTTTTATTGATCTTTTAGTTTGTCCTATGTAGGAGAGACCACATTCACAATCAAGCTTGTACACTCCTGCATCTTGCAGAGGGACATTACACTTGACTGATGGTAAAAACTGACCAATCTTCTTCAGCGGCTTGAAGTATGTTTTGTTGGAAGCACGCTTCAAGATGTAGCCAATCTTGTCAGTGACTCCTCTAACATATGGCAGTACAGCAGGTACACGCTCGACTGTGGCCGGCTTCACTTGTTCACTGTGACGTAGGCGCGGGACTCGAAGCTTGTTGTCATGCAAAACTTGCTTGACATGGTGGAGCTCTGCAGCCAGGTGTTTACTGTCACAGATATCTCGTGCTCTCTGAAACAAAGATTTACCCACGGTAGCTAACTGTGAAGGATGGTGGTGAGAATCACCGTTTAAATATCTATCTGTATGGGTCTTTTTTATACACAGTATGGCTCAAGGTGTTATCAGGATTCCGAATTACTAACACATCTAGAAAAGCTAAGGAATTGTTTGCCTCTAACTCCATTGTGAACTGAATTTTAGAATTTATAGAGTTAAGATGGTCTAAAAATGCAGTTACTTTATCTAAAGGTAGAATTGTGAAAGTGTCGTCTACGTACCGCTTGTAGAATCTTGGATTTATGGGAGAACTAAGCATGGCTTTCTCCTCAAAGTCTTCCATGAATATGTCGGCAACAATGAGAGATACAGGTGAGCCCATCGCCACACCATCTACTTGCTTGTAGAATTCCTCCTTCCACAATAGAAATCATTAGTTTTAGCACCTACCCGAAGCTTGCAGCTATCTCTGAAGTGCTTTGTGATGGATCCGCTTCCACAATAGCCTTTCATTCTTCATTTTCCACTTTGGTCTCCGGCCGTCCACGGGGTTAGTTCTGAAGGTCGAAATTTCCACGAAAACGTTGAAACCAAAAACTTACCATGCTTTATTTTGCGACACCAGAGCCGTACACATTATTAATCCTTCGAGCTGTTTCTGCAGCACTGGTGCCACGGTAGAACTCGTACTTGTAAATATACCGATATTTCATGTTTTCCATTGTGCGGTAATAAGCTACGCCAAAGAAAAAAATAATGAATGACTTCAAAATTCAAATGTACACCAGCTAAATGAATTTATAAATTTGAATGTTATATTTGGCAACTTTGAAATGTCATTAAATATGTTCTATGTTCTTGAACAATTTTCTTTAAATTATATATTCCTATTATGGTTAACTACAATTAATCTTTGGTACTTATTTTGGTAAATTTTCAGAATAGATGAGTATGATTTACTCATCAGTTCATTATTTAATGTCTGCTTTATACAAGTAGTAAAATAAAAGACGTGTGGCACTCTGGGACTGCCGCGGTAAAGCTATTGCATAGCATTTTGTATCAACTTATGCAATTATAGTTATTTTTTATTTATTTTATTTATGCAGTATTTCTTTTTCTTTAATTCAAGTTACACTTTATGAGCGTGGTGACCGATAAGAAAACAAACTTTTTTCTTTTATTAAATAAATAAAAAGTTAATATTGTTTAAAATATTTTTCTTTTTTTTTCTTTTTTAGCTCTTTACGCTTTTCTTCTCTATAAAACGAAAATATCTAGGTATAAATAATAGGTATAAATAATTAGGTATAAATAGTGTAGTGACACACCAAAACAAAATTATTCGTTTAAAAAAAATAACGATATTAAGAAGTCATTATCGAATTTCGCGCGATGTACATTTATATAGATATAATATCATATATACTTTCTCTGCGCGGCATTCATGTGCATATATCTATACACCAAAAACAAAGTTCCTGCATGTCTTACTAGTATGTCACTCCATCTAGTGGTGGTCGCCCTACACTTCGCCTACCGGTACGAGGCTGCCACTCGAGAACCCCTCTTCCCCAACGGTTGTCGGTTCTTCGAGCTATATGGCCGGCCATTTGCCACTTTAGCTTACTAATCCGTTGGGCTATGTCGGTCACTCTGGTTCTACTGCGGATATGCTCATTTCTAAGTTTATCACGCAGGGAAACTCCGAGCATAGCCCTCTCCATAGCTCGCTGAGCGACTTTGAGCGTCCTCATACGGCCAGCAGTGAAGGACCAAGTCTCGGTACCGTAGGTCATTACTGGCAACACGCACTGGTTGTACAACTTAGTTTTCAGGTTTTGAGGTATACCTGACGAGAAGATGCGTCGTAATTTCCCGAACGCTGCCCAGCCGAGTTGAATACGTCGATTGACCTCTCGGTCGAAGTTGGACTTACCTAGTCGAACTATTTGTCCCAGGTAAACGTACTCGTCAACAACTTCGAGCATAGTGCTCCCAACAACTACCGCATAGGTGTAATATGGACATTAAACATGATCTTTGTTTTGTCCATGTTCATCTTAAGACCTATCCGTTGAGGTCATTGAGCATAGTGTTTAAGTCCTCCAGCGATTCTGCCATAAGGACTATATCGTCGGCAAATCGAAGGTGAGTGATGTACTCGCCATTGATATTAATATATAATAAGCTTGAAAACGTCTTCCAATGGCCGCTGAAGGAGTATCGAGGAAACAACGTCACCTTGTCTTACACCTCTCTGCAGTTGGATAGGTTTCGTACTCTCGTTCTGTACTCGGATAGCCATCGTGGCCCTACTGCACAAACACTTCAGCACTTCAATATTTCGACGGAATCGAAGGCTTTCTCATAGTCCACATACGCCAGACAAAGTGGCAGATTGTACTCTTCGGACTTCTGTACAAATTGCCGAAGGGTATGTATGTGGTCTATGGTACTAAAGCCTTTTCGGAAACCGGCTTGTTCGGGAGGCTGGAAGTCGTCGAGACTGCGTGCGAGACGATTCGTAATGACTCTCGAAAACAGCACATAGACGCGGCTCAGAAGGGATATCGGTCTGTAGTTCTTCAAGGGGGCGTTGTCACCTTTCTTTAAGAACAAGACCACCGCACTTCTGCTCCACGCCTCCGGAGTAGTGCCACCATGGACATGGAGGACGGAATTAAAGAGCCTCTGAAGGACTTCAAGTACCGGTTTTCCACCCGCTTTCAGAAGCTCCGCTGTAATTCCATCCTCGCCCGGGGACTTTTTTTAAGGTGCTGGAGTTTTTAAGGTGCTGGAGAGCCATTCTAATCTCGCTCAGATTGACGTCCGGGATATCATCGGAATAGTGTCGGATAAGACTTGCTCTTGGATCGTTACTCACAATTGCGTGTGGCTCCAACGATGATGTGTAAAGCTGCCCATAGAACCTCTCAATCTCACTCAGAATCTCAGGTGTCCCGGAAACGATGCTGCCACACTCAGTCTTTAGCTTTGACAGTTGGCTCTTTCTGGCAGACAGATCTCTGGCAAAGACTTTGGAGCCCTGGTTCCGCTCGATCGCTTAGCAGTATTAAAGTTGCGCAAGTATCGCCGCATGCATTTGGAGATCTGTCTTTTCAGTTGCCTGTATGCTGTCGAATCTGTTGACTATTGCAGCCTCATCTCCCGCCTCATCCCCTAACAGCCATGAGATTAAGAGTGTGATCGGAGAGTTTTTGTGTTCTTCTGCGGGGGGTCTTGCAGAACTTATGTCCGACCGCATGGACAGTTTCCACGAGCTTGTCATTCATATCGTCCACTGCATTGCACTCTTTTAGGCACTGAAAGCGGTTACGTAACTCGAGCTGAAAAGTTTCGGGATTCTGTATCAGAGCACGAGGGGGACGGAGCGTTGACTTCATTAGACGAAACCTCTCCAACTTAACGTTCAGGTTCAGTGTGCCTCTAACCATTTGATGATCGCTGCAAGTTTTCACCCTTGCCATCACTGAGACATCACTGAATAGTTGGCGTCTGGTCGTCATAATGAAGTCGATCTCATTTTTTGTCGAACCGTTGGGGCTCGACTAGGTCCACTTCGTGTGGGGCCGCTTCTGGAAGAAAGAGTTCATCATAAAGAGTCCCTCTTTGTCCATAAAGTCGGCCAGCTGCTGGCCACTACGGTTCCGTTGCCCTACTTCAAATTTCCCTAACTTCATCTCACCGCTTTCTCTTGTGCCTAGTTTTGCGTTGAAGTCTCCCAACAACACCGCGTAGTGGGTTTAGGAAGAATTCGTGGCTCTGGAAATATCCTCATACATTTCCTCCACCTCCTCATCGGGATGTGCCGAGGTTGGTGCGTAAACTTGTATGACCTTCAGCGAATACAGTTTGATGATTCTGAGTATCAGGTACGCGACCCTCGTCGACACACTCTCAATCTTTATAACGTTGTTGACGAGAGACTTGTGGACACCTCCTTGGGACAAATGGTCGCCCTCCCGGTGATAGAACAAGTTGCCGGACTCGAGGATTACCGTGTCCTCCCCCTCTTTTCGGACTTCGGATAATCCAATAATATGCCTGCGCAACTTGTCTACATCTTCTTCCAGTTCCAGTATTTTCTCGTCAGTCCTCAGGGTGCGTGCGTTATATGTTGCCAGGTCGAGACGTCGTAGGTGGTAACCGAACCTCCACCGGAGATTCTTAGCACCCCCTGCCCCGCCGTTACCATGGTCGCCACCGTATCCAGGAATAGCAGGGCCGCCGGGGACTGGGGGCCGTTTGTTTGCGTCGTTATTCATGGGGGGATATTTGCCGTAGTTGCCACGCCACGTAAAATTACTGATTATACTTAAATTTCATGTTTTTGTAACTGATAACTGGCAAAACCTTCGCAGGTGATTCCATAGGACTTTCAAATTCCATAAGTTTGGATCCTGGGGGAAGTGGATCAACTGAATTTTGCCTTGTCTGGGATATGCCTGTAATAAAGTATAGAAAGGATAAGAAAATACATAAAAGGTAATTTTTTATTATATTATATTATTTATTGGTATAAAAATAAAGTACCTACCTTACGAAAAAAAAGGCAGATGGTGCTTGTAGATACACCCACAAACTATACACTAGTTCGAGTATGAGAAGTAGGAGTACTTTATATCTCATAATAATTACATTTTAACCTTATGTAATACATATACAAAAAAGCTCATTATGTGTTTTTCAATAATAGTCTAATTAGTAATTACTTTTTGAAATTAGAATGGTTTTTGCATGCGCCTGGAATTGAATTTATGCAAAGGCAACTAATACTACTAATAATAGTAATACATTTATCCAGAAATGAGCCGCAAGTTTTATGGAGCCTGTACTTTGGACCAGCATTTAAGGTATTATTAAAGTTTTGAACATAACTCGTTTATGTAAAGGTATTAAAATATAGTTTCAAACATTAATAATATTATCCAATATGAACTGTGTGTGTGTGTGTGTGTGTGTGAGAGAGAGAGAGAGAGAGAGAGAGAGAGTGTGAGAAGAAAGGAGAGAGAGAGAAATCTCCGAAGAGACTAACGCCACATAATATGGCACGAATGGCTCTTTTCATCTTTAACTTTGACGCCTGTCACCAAGTTGGGTAGGCATAGACTGCGGACTTACATTTGGGGCGATGCTTACAAACCTCTTACGCTCTCATTCACATCCATATATTTACGCGTACATGCTCTTGGTTAACTAATTTGTCTTGGGTACCATATATGAGGAGATACGTTAAAGGAGTTCTTTTTAGCGGTAAGCGAGAGGTAATTTCGTAGTCTGTACGGGTGTACTAGGCTCGCTATTATATCGCTTTAATATTTATATATAAAAATTATGTGTCACATTATTTGTCCGCGATGAACTCCGAAACCACTCGACCAATTTTAATGAAATTTTGTAAATGTGTATTGCTTGTTCCAACTTGAGAGATAAGATAGTACCTATCCCGCTAAGTGACCCTTAATATTTTTTATTTTAAGAATTTTTTAAAGGACAAAGGGTCGACGGAAAGGGCAGAACAAAGCCTGCCTCGCCAGCTAGTCAAATATATTATATTAAAGCACAAATAAAAAGTAATTGGTTTTATCATATTATCTTTACAGGTATTACACAAAGTACTTTGGTAGTGATGGCATAGCCGGTGCTAGTATAGCTGCTTACGCTTTAAGAAATTACGAAAACTGGGAAAAACAAATTGCCGAATGGCAAGATCCAATTTTGTCGAACAGGTAAATTTTATATTCATGTAACAAAAATATCGTCTACAGTATTCATTAAAGCAAGTACATGCAAACACATTTTCAGCAACATACCAGACTGGTTAAAATGTGCCTTAATGAACGAGCTTTACTTTGTCGCTGATGGGGGAACAATATGGTTTGATGTGCATGATGAATATCCTGAGACAGATCCCAGGTAATTGAATCTTTTAATCAATTAATTTTACATTTACTCAATAATATAAATAAAACAGCTCAATCATTTTTAGTATTGATTTGCTTTACGGAAAACCTTTGGAAACAAACATACATGTTTATTATGGTTATCCAAATTTTACGCGACGATGCACTTATTTGTTTGGTTCTTTGAGATATATCAGACAATGCTCTATTTTCATTAATATTTGATCTTTCTTTTTATCATATAGCAACAATAATTAATAGCTGTAAGATATATATTTCGTAAATATATTATGTATATAACATTCACTTGACCGCATCTAGCGCAGAGCGGCTCGAATCGTCGACGACCAAGTGCTTTCCGATCGGCTCGATTCACTGGCGCTGCGAAGAGATGTTGCATCTTTTTGCATTTTCTTTCGCATATACCTCTGAAGAATTGTTCGGATTAATCCCAGCCGCCAAATTTCGTGAACGCACTACGCGGCAAACGTCCCGATACCATCCACACCATCTAGATGCTTGGCAGTCCACCACTGTACTTTTCACACGGAGTTTTCCGCGTACGACCTCTCTGTGGTATAGTTTACCACCGGCGATTTTTCCGGACCGATACGACCTGGGACCCTTCAAGAAAAGAGCTTACTCCTTTCTAAAGGACCGGCAGCGCACCTGTAATTCCCCTGGTGTTGCGGTTGATCATGGGCGGCGGTAGTCACTTAACATCAGGTGAGCCGCTTGCTCATTTGCCCCCTCTTCTATTAAAAAAAAAATTAACATTAATTATTCGGCAGTTCTATTCAAGTTGTAACTCGCTCTGTCTATCCTAGTTTACATTTTAATATTATTTAATTAGCGTATCATCGGACACGGGTTAGTTTTAACGAGTGATTGAAGAGTTTATTGATTAGCGCGCTATTCCTGTTTTTAATACCTTCTAGTGGTATTCGAAAGTTCTTGTGGTCGAAATCAATAAAAATAACATCATCGTCGACGTTTCGTTAAACTATTTTTGGAATATGCAACCTTGCAGTTTTCCGTTTCATTATTTTTTTTTAACATCTGTTAACATTGAACTATTAATTTGTTACATGGTGGAGATGTAAAGGCTTACTACATTGTCCCTTATTATTATTATTATTATTATAGAAGTGGAAGAAAACTCCAATTCATTATACAAAATGAAATTAGTTACCTTTGATGATATATTTTATGAATAAAGTTCAAAATACTTTAGAGTTCTCATTCTATTTCAATGAAATAGCTATGCGACGATTTTATAACTTTAAAAAAGTTCAATATAATGTATATTCATATCGATTCCTTAACTATCTGGAAGAAATCGCTTTTAGCGATAAGACCGCCCATTGCGACACTATTTTTTTCTTCATATTTCGTTTATGTATTGATTTGGTGTACAATAAAGAATTATCTATCTATCTATTTATTTCGATAAATTAGATTTGACGCTCTTTATGTATATTTACATTTCAGACATGAGTTTGGTGTTTTCGGATATCTGGAAGGACATGAATATAGAATGTATAACACATACGACGTACATTTTTACGCTTCTTTTGCTTTAGCGCAGTTATGGCCCAATTTACAGGTACTAATTTATTTTTTAAATATAATAGTCAGTTAACAAGTCATCCCACAGTTTTCCTTAGTGACTACAGATTTTAGTTCACAGTTTTTGTGTACCTAATACACTTGAAATGTCTTTCCTAAGTTAAATATTCAATTATTAAAGAACTCTTCATCCTGAGCACCTAAAATAATCTGCAGCTACTACTGCTTCATCATCTTCACATCTCTCTCCTCTCAAATAAGAATCACTAAGTACAATGTCTGGTAAAAATGAAGGATTGTAATATTGAAAGTTTTATCAAGAGATGTGTTGATTTGCAGCCATCGTGACGGCGGAATTGTGAGTTACTTTATCGTGGTGAAAACACAATAATGTGAATGAGTTTTCTCGCAGATTTCATTTAATTTTATTTTGCATATAAAGCGCCCCTCCGAGTAGCTCGTTGATCGAGATATTCAATCATTACTATCCATTGACTATCCCAGAAAAGAGAGTCCATGTTCCTACCGGCGGTCGAACTCACTTTGAATTTTTAGTAGTTGGAGGTAATGGCCTTTTTCAAGTTAAAGACTTGTAATCTTTTTTTCCACACCGTTATGGGGAAGCAATTTTCCGTTCATTGGTATAAATCGAGTTGGAAGACCGCCCGTTATAATGACGTCCTAATATAGTCTTATTTAAATCGAAATCGTAAATGTTTATTAGCAAAAATGCATCTGTAAAATGAATATCAAACCAAAGGTACAGCCCGTTGGTAATATAAAATTAATATTTATTATGGATATTAATTATCAACTGCTCGCGCATTTTCTCGAATAACTGCAATTGGAGACTGAGACCAATCTTTGCTTGTAAAGTTGTTTACCTGGTAGAGCCACGCTGCACCTATATATATATTATTATGGTTGTAGCGCGAATAGCGTTATTGGGTCGGCTCTACTGGGGAAGGACCACGCTCTCACCAGCGTAAAATAGCAGGTTAATGCTGTTTCATAAGGTGAGTTTAAAGAATCGGGGACCCTTTTTACTGAAAACGAAGCATTCCAACTTGGTCCTTAGGGTGACTGACCTCAGGATGCATCTGTGTTATCAGTGGCGTCAATGAACCGGAGACCCATTTGGTTATATAACGTGATATATAAGTCTACGGTCCACAGCTTTTACTTATCATCAGGCTGTCCTTTTGTCACCTAACTAAAATGTGACTGGTAAACTAAAATTAAAAAGTATTGACAATGAAATGTTTTCAGGTTGTGCTGCAATATATGTTCCGCGATACAATCGCGATGGAGACAGTTAAATGCAGACAGTCTCTGTACGATGGAAAGTCTGTTAAATTTAAAATAAAGGACTCTATTCCACACGACTTGGGCGATCCAGGTAAGCTGCCTACTATAGGTTGTGTTTAAAATTTACCAGCAAACAATTTTTCGTATAGTGGTGTGTTCGTCCGTAAGTTGTCTTCATTTTCCTGTATCTAATTGTTAATTTGTTGGAAAATACAGAATCGAATAATTTTTATTCAATATATTATATTACAAGTAATTCTTATTGAAATTCATTTTTTTACTTTTACGACTTGTTCGCGAAAAAATCTCTGTCCTGGGAAGAACCAGCAATAAAATTACTTACTCTAAAATTTTACTTTAAATACAGGTTGTACAAACTACTTACTAAAGGGGTTGGTCCATTTCAGGCAAAATCTATGTATACTATACCATAAAAAAGCGAAAAATTCAGGGATTTATTATTAAAAATAAAATAAGAGAATATACTATCATAGTAAATAACTTACTAAAAATAAAAATGCAATCCCAGGTTTTGATGGTTTTACAAGATGGCGCCCTTCCAGTCATAAAAAAACGCGTTTATTTGTCAAATTTTATTTCTGACAAGTGACCTGAGTCATGAAGTAATGTTGATAGTGTGATGTAATGAGGCCGTGTAGTTGCGAACTGGTGAATTCGTTTAATATGATTATGGTGAATTTCTTTGGCGATTTGGTTTCGGTTTAGTGATAAGAATAACACAGCATTTCACAATTCAAATAGCCATCAATAAATGGATCAAACTTCATGACAGTTGACAGCTAACGTCAAAGTGACATCTATCCGCTATTAGTGTTGCATTTTTTGGTGAGATAAAATATTAATACCACTGGTTTCAAGACAAATTCCTGAATTTGAATGATCAAAATGGTTTAATATTTTATTTTAATTTATTTCCCTACTAGTACAAAACTGGGCCTATGCTTCATACAATTTTGGACCGTCTCCTTTATGGGGTTATTATTAACCATGTATATATTTATATTATATTAAACTTGGTAATTGTATATTTATGTGACTTTGTTGTAATAATCATATATATTGCCTAAATAAATTACTGACTCTGTTAAGTCTAGAAACTGATATCATTAGCTTGTGATCGGTCCCGGTGTTTACAGAATGTATGTCACTTTTTTATTAAAACTACTTTTGGTTTTGTGAACCTACATTAAAATTTCGTAAATATGCTGAGAGGCCAAAGTTGATATATTTATTTCTTTAAACTTCTCCCTGAGAGGCTCTCTCGGTTTTAGGTTGTAAATAGCTTTTATGGTTGTTTTCTGCAAAACAAAACAAAAAGATAGCGACCCCTACGCCATGATTTCATAAGCCGAGTGTTATCATACAGTCATATTTCTTCCATTCATCTTTAGCGGGTAAAATACGTTATTAAGCTTATCTAGTTTACTATATTTTTCAGTTATATATGAATAATAAAATAACCGACCCGTGTGTATATATGTGCTGATTTCATACTGAAAAGAAATGTTGGTTCTAATGTCGTACTATAATGTCTATGTATGTACGTCTATGACATTCTAGAATAGTGTAGCTTTCTAACAGTAAAAGGAGTTTCAGTAATTGGTTAGTAGCTCCAGTGATTTCCTCCCAAACAAATTTACATACCTTACAAACAACTTGACCACTTTTTAATATTAGTGTACGATAATATCATTTAAAATATTAATTTATACTATGTCCCTTTATGATACTATTGTATGATAATATCATTTTATAAGTCTTAACAAACTTTTACGTTTTCCCTATTAAGGGAAAGGCTCATGTTTTACATTGAACTGTTACAGGCTGATATTAAAAACAAGAACCAACTTTAAAAAAAAAAAGGTTTTTTCAGTTTAATTGTATATTATTTGTCTGTGATGCAATATTTTAGACGTTATTATTATTAAGATTTAAACATATACCTTTTTTTTTTTTTTTTTGCATGGGGAAATGCCTACGCATACCCGCCTCGCGGGGGGCAAGGACGGGTTATGTCGGACTCGCACCGACTAAAACCCCATGGTGTTCCACCTTTGTCGCATATTGGCAGGGCTACGGGAACGCTATTTACGTGGTAGAGCCATGCTGCAATTATATTAGTAGTATAGTTGTAGCACGAATGGGTCGGCTCGACCGGGGAAGGACCATGCTCTCACAGAATACCAGCGTGAAATGGTGGCTTAATGCTGCTGTATTTCATATGGTGAGTGTAGAGAACCGGAGACCCTTTTTACCGGAAATGAGGCATTCCATCTCAGTCCTCACGGGTGACAACGCATCTGCATTTTGATTTGTAATGGAAGATAGATGTAGATGTCTATGAGCCGCAGCAGCCACTTACCATCAGGTGGACTGTGTGCTCGTTTGTCACCCTATCCTATAAGAAAAAAAAAAACGCTTTCGCACACATCCGCGGCCCTACTAGCGCCTGCCGCCCCATGGCAGCACCTCCTCGGGAGAGGAAAATTCCTCCCCATTCTCCTTCCCAGGTAAGGCGCACCAGAACACATGGCGCGCCTTCCTCCACGGCCTCTAACTATGTCTGTGCAACAGACGCCCCCGCGTCCGATGCACAAAGGCCATGGGGCCAGGAAAAAACGAGCACTTAGAAGTACTAGCCTTCCCGACCCCAGCGGCGGATCTGGTCTATGGCTCCGCCGCCAACCAAGATTCGGCTGCGGAGGGTAGGGAGAGCGGCGCCTCGCAATACCGACAATCCTCTCCCCCCGCAGCCCCACCACCACCGCATCAACGGTGCGGCCCCGTTTGAGTCGCGAAGGATAGGGCGAGTGGCGCATCGCCATACCAACACTCCTCTTCCTCCGCGACTCCACCTCGGCTGCAGCGGTAGAGGGTGCGCGAGTCCCCACTCGCTGCAGTCCACCAGCACACATCCAAAGTGGGCTCCCCAAGCCCACTCGGAGCGGCCACCTCAGGCCGGCCCTTCACCTCGGGCCAGCCACGTGGGTTCCTCTTTGTTCACCGTGGGAGACCAAGCCACGGCTACTAAGCCCCCCCGCCACGACAAGGCGGGAACCCGTTCGGGGGGGTAAACATATACCTAATGTACATGTTTTAAATCTTTTTTAAATAAGCAATATAAGAAAAATAAAAAGAAGTTTTATTATATAGAAATGTAACAATCAACAAGTAATCGTTGCTAAGATACATCATTCTGATATTTCATATATTTTCTTAACATTCGCTTTCCTTTTAGAACTTCATGCCCATTTTCACAGTTAATTCCAGAACTCGTGAATTATATAAAGGTTTTGTTAATATATCAGCAAGCTGGTCTTTGCCACATGTTTTCATGACCTCTAAATTTCTTTGCTCAACAAAGATGTTCTTATAAAGATGTGTCGTATACGAATATGTTTCATATACGACACTTCTTTCTCTAAATATTTGCAATTACTCGAACTCTTGTAAATTATACCATACTCAGTATTGCTTTTTAAATATCGCATTATGCGTTTAACCTTAACATCGCTCTGCTACCATGTTAAGATTTAAAACATATACATTAGTAAACAATATAAGATAAAACCCTTTCCTACCGGACTATAGATTTTTAAAGATTTTTCCAAACTTAACTTTATTATATTGTTATAGTAGGTAAAAATAAACCAACAGATTTTTTTTAGATTTTTATTATACCTAGAAGTACTATTTCTAAGACCTGGACTAATTTGTACCGTCAGTTACTTTATGTATCACAATTTTAGGAAATTTGATAGAAAATATGAATAAGTAAAAATAATGAGATCAGACGTCAACCTCGTGATATTCTACAAAACAGTTTTTTTATCATTCAGACATACAAATACATTACAGTGGGAACATTTAGTAAAAGGTTTGGACTGAATCTTCTTGAAGCTGCAAACTTCACACCTTCCTCTCTTTTCTGAAAATGTATGCCTCTGTTACCCAAACGTACGTCTCTCAATACTAATTCGATTTGCGCCTTTTAGAAGGACCAGAACTTGGAGCATTATCTGAAGAAAACCTTTTTTTCTGACCAGCATTTTTCATTGTCATCAGGCCTTGAGTAACAGAGCGTCGAAAGTCTTTTACGGTAGTCTTCTCAAATATAACTCCATGAATGACAAAAGCGTTGACAAATGCTATGTCCAGTAGACCCCAGAACAACCTATGCCACCATTTTGGAGACTTGCGATCTATACAGTAAAGGGCTCTCAAACGATCAGCTGTGTCTACGCCCCCCATGTAAGTGTTGTAATGTTTGACAGCCATTGGGCATGTTATTGTAGACTTAGACCCATTTTTTTCTTTACGTGACACAGTTGCCTCTTCATTTCCATGAAAATTAGAGAGTAAATGTACTACTTTGTTATCTTTCTTTCTTTCTTTGAAAATCTGTAATCACTTTCCCCTCTTTTCATTTTTGAATCAGGGAGCATATTTGGAGGCAGTCCTTTTCTATTACTTCTGACTGTTCCGCATGCGTAGGTATTCTCAGTTTCAACTTTTCAACTAAAGCAACAGATGTAAAAAAAATATCAAAATAGACAATTATAACGAAACAAAGTACCCATTCATCGTGTATAATTATCATAAAATTCAGTAAATTATAAGACCAAAAGTTTCTGACGGTACTTTTTAGTTCTCGTCGGTTTTTTTTAAATATAAACATGAAATAAGGTAATAATATATCATGCAAGTATTTAGAAATCTACTTGATAATATAAACTTACTATATAATCGAAAGTATTTGAACTTACCTATGATATTATATTTTTAAAACTATAACAAATACAGAGGTTCGCTTTTAAGGCGAACTCACTGGATGCAAGACAAGTTGTTACTTGCAGATCAAATTGATTGATCGGTTCTAGCGATAGACCGAATTGTGTGCTCTTATTTATTGACTCACGTCAATCGTACTCTGAAGTATCGCCAGTGAGTTTAAGCACGAAGTGTTTGCGTATTCAATTTATTAGACGAAAAAGGAGCCGGTACTTAATAGTACCGTAAGGAAGGAAAGTGTTAAAAGAAGTTTTATTTTATAGAAACGTGACAATAAACAAGTAATGCAACGATTACTAAATACGTACTACGAAAGATATATCATTCTGATATTTTATATATTTTCTTAACAATTAGTTGACCAATTTAGTTAATTTTTCTCGAAAAAGTATACTTTCCCATATTCATTTCCAACCAGATCGGATGATAACACTTTAAATTATACGATTATATAATATAATGTATGCGTTTTGTACAGAGGGAAAGCCATTCACAAACATTAACGCGTACAACATCCACGACGTGAGCGAGTGGCGCGACCTAAATCTCAAGTTCGTTCTGCAAGTGATGCGCGACTACCGGATCCTGCGCGGTCACAGCGCGCCCTTCAACGACGCGAGGTACCGTTCCATGGCGTTCATAGACGACGTACGCGACGGCACCGAGGACGATCTGTATTCCCGCGCGACGGAGCAAGCGGAGCTGGAGAGCTCCGCCTCCGTCGAGTTGGAGTCCACGAGTGCGGAGCCGCAACGCGTCGCTCGCAATATATTGGATCTGTTGTACAGCGGCGAGGTGGTGGAGGAGGCCGGCGGCAACGCGCGGCCGCTGGAGGACGCGGGCGCGGGGGGCGCGGTGTGGGACGCGCGGGGCTACCTCGCGGACATGTACCCGGCCTGCGTCGCCTTACTGCGACGCGCGCGCCTCTGGGACGCCGACGGCGACGGACTTATAGAAAACAGAGGCTTCCCCGACCAGACTTACGACGCTTGGGTGATGACGGGCCCGAGGTGAGTTATTTTAACGCATACGCTTGGCCTTAACACTGTTAAAACTGCCTCGTTGGTCTTGTGGTTGTAGTAGTGCGGCTGCTGATCATGAGGTCCTGGGTTTGAATCCCGGGTCGGGCAAAAAATTAATTATTGAGTTTTTGCGTCAAGAAATTCTCAATAGCTGCCCGGAGTCTGGAAGTTGGCGGTGTCCACCCCCGCGCCTCGGAAAGCACGTAAAGCCGTTGGTCCTGCGCCTGATCTCTCTCCGGTCGTGTCGGTTTATCGTCCCATCGGATTATGAGAGTGAGGGAATAGAGAGTGCACCTGTGCTTGCCCATACACTTGGGCATTAGAATCCTGTCCTGCGCCGATGGCTAGTCTCCGTTTAGGCAGGCCGCCGTGGCCGAAATTCGGTCTGGTGGACATTATTATTATTATTACGTTTGGCCTCTTTCGGTTTGTTGAGCAACGTATCTCTCGGTTAGCGAGGTTGCTCTGCTTAGGAGTTCGTGTGGATAGTATTACCCTCTGATCTATTCCTGTCGCTAAGTAGTAGCGCCATCTACTGTCGTGTCCGAGTTTGAAATGTTAGCTAACCAGAATGAATAAAGCTCAGGATGGGTGCGTTTGGCAGAAAAAAGCGCTAGCAAGCGCTTACAAGTGTTAAAATAGTTTTCGGCCAGGACACGATTGCTACTTCAGTAGCGCTGACACAATCCGCCATTTTGCTTTTTTAATTTGTTTGTTTTGAAGTAGAGTTTATAAGTTATTTTGTGCAATATTAGTTTTAAGTAATATAATGACATGAATAAACATATACATGTTATTAAAAATTCATGATTGGTAAGTTTTTAATATGAATACTTTACAAACATAAATTTAAATTAGGTTAGGTTCCCCGGTTAAAACTAACTTCATGTCCTAGAGGAAAATAGCTACTTATGATTTGACAGCGCTTACCGCTTACGATCGCCATTTTGCTTACAAGCGCTTGCTAGCGCTTTTTTCTGCCAAACGCACCCGATGTGTTGCGTTCCATCTTAGCTTTCAACTACATCCTTTTTCTTGGAAATTATTTGCATGTGTCTTTGTCATTCATCACCATAAGGACTTTTACCTTGTTCATCATACGAATATTTAAAATGATGTTAAAATGTTGTTTTGTATGTTTGTATAAAATTGCGTTAGGCATCATAATAATCGTAATAATTCTTCATATCTATTGTAAAATAATGGACTATTGGCAAAGGTCTCACCTACACAGAGAAAACTTTCCCAATTCGTCACACTTAGATGGATTAGATAGTGGATTTCTCACAAGTTTCATGCTGTTTCCTGCCGTCGATGTTAATAATTTACATCTGGTATATAAACGACACAATCATTCAGGCGTCAAAGGTCACAGATCTTCCTTACAGTTTCATTATTATATTCCTGCAAATCAATTTATGTGCATAGTTGTTAAATTTTTATCACAGATGTAATCAAGTGTATATTCCTATATGTTAAATAGAAAAAGAGTTTTTTTCTCTCTTTTTGCATGCATTTTGTTTCGTAATCGCTTAGAATCTGTTTTATACTGGAATTAGAATTTTGCTTTTAGACGTAAAATGCATGATATATCTTTTACTAAAGTAAAGCTACAGACTATATACGTCTTGCAGATTGGTACTGGCCTCCTCTCATTTCTGAGAAGGATTTTAAGGCAGGGAATTATCATAATCTCATGTTTTTGAAATAGTTTATTCAACAGATATACAGGTTTCCTCACAATGTTTTCTTTCACTGCCGCGCACGTAGTAAATAAGCACCTAAAATTGCAATTAAGACAAGTACCGGCGGGGATCGTGTTTGCTTGCGTACTATGGATACTACAGCAAGGACTTTCATTTATTTCAATTACCCTGAGTTAACAGCGCTCTCGATGTATTATCTACTTACTTCCTTTTATTTCATTGTTTTAGATATTTCTCCTACAATTTTTTAATTGTCTTATATTTTAATTATAACATTTTAACGTTTTTACCTCGCATATTGTATCCTTACTTGCTACAATGCACGCGTATGCGTAAACGCATTTTCGCTTGCACGCACTCGCACGCATGTAGATTTGAGTACTTGTACTTTTTCAGCGCATATTGCGGTGGTCTATGGATTGCAGCCATAAGTAGCGTATGCTCAATGGCCAACATACTGGGTTTCGAAGACGATGAAAAGGAATTCTCTAAGCTTCTAGAACAAGCGCGCAAATCATACGAGGAAAAACTTTGGTCTGGAGCCTATTACCGCTTCGACACACGTCCATCCAGTAATAATGTGGTTATGGCGGACCAGTTGGCTGGCCAATGGTAAATATTATATTTTCATTGGAGTAATGTATTACTACGATTTATCACTTCATGAACGATTTTGTTGAGATCTCGTATCATTGTTAACTTGATTGTTACTGATGAAGTTAAATGCATTAACAGTATTTATGTAAATTGAATACCTTTAAACAAGCAATTCTTGTATATATATAATCGTAATCTCGGAAACAGCTCTCAACGATTTTCATAAAATTTTGTGTCTCGGGTGCAATAAATCGATCTAGTTAGGATTTATTTTTAGAAAATGTCGTTTTGTCCATGTTTTCAGGCAATGAAAAACTGCTACAATATAAGGTAAATTTTGGCAATGTGTTAATGATTATAATAGCTCAAATGGGATATCGGGTGGTCCCGAAATGGTAGTACCCTGGTTCGAATCCTGTCTTCGGTCCGCCTTTTTTCTTTTTTTTTCAAGTCTCGTTTCTTTTGTAAGAAAATCTATTATTTCGAGCCCCTTTCTTAGAATTTTTTTAAAAACACGAAAATTTAAATTAATCTAATTGCACTCATGATTTTTTTGTTCAAATAACCAGTTCTGTTTTTTCTATTATGTAGGTAAGACCAAAAAATATTCTTCATATTTCATAAGTATGTAATTTGTATCTAAATATAATTTCTAAAACACGATTTCCAAAAAAAATACCGAGCAAAGCTAAAGCAAAGATATACTTTTGGATACTATCCGGATATTTGAATTTTGGAAATTATCGGACATACAGGGGCATGACAATTGACAATACTCATATACATAAGTTTACTTAAGAGGCATTAGTCAATAGAATGGTAATAAAGAACAACTATAGTACTCAATTACAATTTTCTGTAATTACGATTACCGGCCCGACTGCTGATGAGGCGATACTGCAGGTAGAGGTTTTGATCGAGCTTTTTAAGACACTAAATAAAATGTAGCAATGAAAAAAAAATTATTATTAACTACTTCGGGTAATAAAATTGGAAAATCATGAATAAGTGAAGTGGAATCCGATCAAAACAATTTTATGGTGCTTAGCTTTTTTGTTGAAAATTTTTTTTGCGGAAGTTTTACCTCGAAATATTATCTGGTAGATAGTGAAATTAATAATATGTAGATCTTAATGAGGTTCGGCTCGTTCGATGCAGAATTTGCAGGTGCTGCTAGATTTATATTTATAGGAGAGGAGGCAAACTAGCATATGCTTCACCTGATGTTATTTGACTACCGTCGCCCATGAACAATTACAACATTAGGGGAATTGCAGGTGCGTTGCCAGCCTTTTAGAAAGGAGTAATCTCTTTTCTTGAAGGTCCCCAGGTCGTATCGGTCCGGAAAAATCGTCGATGGTAAACTATTCCACAGAGAGGTCGTACGCGGCAGAAAATTCCTAGTGAAACGTACAGGACCGCCAAGCACCCAGATGGTGTGAATGGTATCGGGAGGTTTTCCGGGTAGTACGTTTATGAAATTTGGTGACTGGGATTAATCCGAACAATTCCTCAGAGCACTCCCCGTGATAGATGCGATAAAATACTCAAAGAGATGCAACATCTCTTCGCAGCGCCAGTGAATCGAGCCGATCGGAAAGCACTTGGTCGTCGACGATTCGTGCCGCTCTGCGCTGGATGCGGTCAAGTGGAAGGAACTGGCACTGGGGAGCCCCCGCCCGGAGATGGGAACAGTATTCCATGTGAGGCTGAACCTGCGCCTTGTAAAGTTGCAGCCAGTGTGCCGGCATGAAATACTGTCCCGCTTTGCTGAGCACGCCAAGCTTTTTAGAGGCCGATTTGGCCTTCTCTTCCAAGTGACCACGAAACTGCACGTCACTCTATATGTCGACGCCGAGGATTCCGATACTGGCTGAGGCAACAAGGGGAGAGCCTTGAAACTGAAGAGATACGACAAAGTGGTTCTTTTTAGCGGTTAACGCGCAAACTTGTGTCTGCTGAGGTTAACCCTCAGAAAACAAATTTGCGCGCTGGACTAGATTTAGTCGTCCCCAATCAAAGACTTTGTTCAGCAAATACTCGAATTCAGACACAAGTTTTTCCCGGTACTCGGAGACGTTTTCCAGAGAAATATTGGCACGACCGGTGTATAAAGCATCACCAGTGCTGTCGTCTGCATAGCAATGAATGTTACCGGTTAGCAACATGTCATTGATATGCAGAAGAAACAACGTTTTTCATAAAAAAAATTCTGAAAGTAACTGCATCATATCTTCATATCCTGACAGTTCTTGTGCATCATGCAAAGGCAACCATTTGAGGTCTTGGTGCTCTTTCACACTTTTCTCTTTTCAACACTTTTATCTGGGTTTTTCAATTTAGCTAACCAATACAAAACACTCTTAGGCTTTCCTTTAACTTGATAGTTAAGTGTTTTTGATATACCTTGATATATTTCCAAGTCATTCTCTGATAACCCAGCCTCCTCTTTAGTTTCTCGTAATGCAGTTACCCAGTCTGACTGTCCTGGATCTACATGACCCTTCGGAGGAGTCCAATGATGTTCACCATAAGACGTTTGTAAAAGAAGGAACTGTATTGCTTGATTTGTGTACCTGAAAATTACTAATCGAGCGTAGGGGACATCGTATACAGGTTTGAAATTCATAGGTAATTCTACAGAGCGTTGGTGATAGCACGCAGCCTTGTGGAACACTAGCGTTAATAGGCTTGTATTCGGAACATGCACGGTCTACAACGACCTTGATGCTCCGATCTGCAAGAAAGCTGGTGATCCAATTGTACAATTTCTCGGGTAGCCCATAGGAAGGGAGCTTCGAAAGAAGCGTTTTGTGCTGAACCCGATCGAAGGCCTTCGCAATAGATATCGCTTAAACCAATTTACCATCGATATGTGTACAGTACTTACGGATAAAGAATGGGATTAAAAATGGCGACTCACCGAGCCCGTACCGTCATTAACATTAATAACATTAATAACCAGTGAACCCGCTCTGGTTTTGCCTCGGATAGGATCATATTGACGAAAAAGCATTTATTTTATCTTATAAATATTTTAATAAAATCTCTTAAGTTTTCGGATAAAATTTAGTCTAGAACACTCCTGGTATTACTCAGTTTGTTCGTGAAGTTTTATTGCAATCAGTTCAGCCATTCCGAAGACTAGCTCGGACAGACAGACAAACGAAAGTTTTAGAAATGGTTACTCATGACTCAATGGTAAAATCTCTGAATTTTTTTTGATAAAATTTACTATTGTACTTTTCTTTACATGACATTCAAATATACAATATTTATTACCATAATAAAATTAAAAACTATATAGGATAACTCAAAGAAAAGGTTAAAGAAAACCGATTATTTATTATTTTTATAGCATTATTTATATTGTACTTTTGAATATTACGATTTGGAGTTCCAGTCCAACACGTTTTTCTTTTAAAATCACAAACGCATTACAACTTCATTTTTACAGGTATCTCCGCGCCTCTGGCTGGACAGAGCAAGTGTTCCCTGATGAAAATGTGAAGAAAGCGCTACAAACGATTTATGATAATAACGTGCTATGTTTTGTTGGTGGCAAGATGGGCGCCGTCAATGGATATATAACTGGAGCCCGCGGACGCATTGATACCACTGCGATACAAAGCGAAGAGGTATGGACCGGTGTTACCTACGGACTGGCAGCTTTGATGATATATGAGGGTAAGCATGTGTATCAATTATTTATACGTAGCTACTCATGTTGTTCAAAGTTTTTGAGCGAAAACTTCTTTAGAATCGTTGCAATTTCAATATCGATGAAACGATCTATAGGATTTAGCTGCGAGAGAATGAAATAGAATACCGTATACAGTATTTTATATTATCTCGATTTCTTTTTCCGACGGGTTCACTTCTACCGTGTTAAACTGCACACATATTTTTTTATGATTGGCTTACTGTTACATACATACTCTTTAAATAGAACGAATTAAAGATGCATGATATATAAACATTTTTTTATTTCCCTTAATATTTATTTATGAAAAGAAGTTTAATCTATAGCTATGACCTATATAAATATTTTAAGTAAATAACATTCAGTTATTATAAATTTGAAAATTAAGTCTATCATTAGTCATTACATATAAAACCTATACAAATTAAGTTCTGAACCCGATCTCCGAACGTACGAAGCCGATCTTTTACAAACACATAGGGCGGATTGAAGATCGCGAAACTAGACGTTCCGCGCCTTTGACGTTGGTGGCCGTTACCGGCCCGAGTCCAGTCCGGATATATTATATCTACGGAACGTAATTAGATAAAAAATATCTAGGAAGCCATAATCATATTGTATGAAATTTAAATAAATAAATAAATATTATTTAGAATTTTCTTTAGTTGTATTATGATACCTACGGGACGAAATGGCTTGATGGATTTACCTACGCGCCGCAAGATACTAAATTAATGCGCACTAGTTGTTATTTATAAATATTAATTTACGCGCATGTAATAAGGGTTCAGGGGTCAGTAAGTGTGTTCGCGTCTTTACGCTCGGCCACTTTAGTTGCAACACAGATTTTGGATTGTCGTAGACAAGGAATAACACTTGCTTATAGTAAAATTATTTTGTTCGTGCAGATGGGGTCTTAAATCATAGCTCAGCCTCAGCCCGGCTAGGGCGGTGAGCATGAAGCGCGGGCGCAACGCCATTATCGATAACAACAAATGAATCATCGAAGGAAGGTACACGGCGGTGGTGCGGTATACAAAGGATGGTGCGACATTGTTGTGTTATGAGTCATTTGTTTTCCATTATTATCCCGCCTAATATCTGCAAATTAGTGCAATGATAATTTAGTACATATATCGAAGAGAAATTTGTTTTTGCGCATTTGCTCTCTGAATTTCTTTAGTGACACAATGGCTACTCTTTTGTTTTGTACCATAACGGCAGAATTTATTCAAAATAATATTTTGCGTGTTAGCACCAATATACCAGCATAAGCACAGTTAATAAATACGTTGTTTTATCTATTTTATTTTTATTTTTATCACTAACCCACATAATGACAAAACTAAAACTAAAAACAATAATGCGCATCACTATGCTCGCCCTTAAGGCCCGTGAGTGGGAGAGAGAGCGAAATACTTCGATGATTTATGACCCAAACTGCAGAGATAAAATAATTCTAGTATAGTCGCTTTCATATAGGCACAAGACCATCACCGATGATCAAGCCTTCTTCTGTACCTATTTTTTTGTCATCTGTACTTTCCGCTGGTGTAATGAGTGAGTTGGAAAATATTTATTATTTTTGAATTTCCCAGGTATGCACGAGCAGGCGTTTGCGACTGCAGGCGGTCTGTGTAACACTATGTCCCAAATGGGCCTTTCTTTTGAGACTCCCGAGGCCCTGTATGAGAACGGTAACCATCGTTCCATAGCATATATGCGGCCCTTAGCCATATGGGCGATGTACCAGGCCATAGTGGCGAGTCCTCCACCGTCGATCACATTGGCTAATGGCCAGCCTCATCATGCCAAAGAAAATAATCATTTATAATAGTGAATGAAATTTGTTCGGGAATTCAGTTACTACCTTCCCTGAACCGTTATAGAAAAACTGTTAGCCAAAATTGCAGTCTACTTAGTAGATGAGATTAGGAGAGCTTAATTTATTTATTTTACGTGTTATGAGATAATACGAAAGAACTAAATTGAAATGAGTTGTTGCATACACGCTTAACATTATAAGTAAAAATAATGTTTAAATTTATGCAACGGAATTTTCCTATGCATAAATTTTTAAAGTAGCGATAAGAAGGACTATCTCGCATATGGGTTTGAATAGAGAAGTTGCATGTTTTTTTTTTTGAATGTTTATTAAAAGTTAATAAGAAACTTAAAAAAAATAACAATCAAATTTTAATGAAATTTCCAATAATTTTTTTTAAATGTAAGTTCAAACGCCAGTAACGTCATTATATCGCTTTAGTAACCGCATGGTGAAATGATAAAACACTCATGTTTACGTCAAAATAAAAATAAAATATCATTGCATACTACAGGTTATACTTTTTTAAGACACAACGTGGTGATCCGAATATAGAAAATACAAAGTTTATGGTACGATAATACGATTGCGATTGGCTCACAGCCTAACCAGAAACAATGACATCACAACCAATCGCAAGTCGTTTTTTTACATTCAAAACTACTGTTTTTTATTAATAATTACTAAAAAATGGATTTGTTAATAAAAATATACTTAAATACACTTTAAATGAATTATTCTTTTATGCATAAACTTGTGGCAAAAAAAATATAATGCAACTTCTATATTTAAAACGCTACTATAAAGAAAAATAGCATTTCAGTAAATAAATACACCGGAGCTATATATATTGTGCAGCAAGAGTATATAAATAGGTGCTTAGAAGTTGTAGATAAGTGAAATGTATTAATTCTTTATTGTAAAACAAGCTTAGCATAGTTGGCATAGAATATGATTGAAAAAATGATTTAACACCTTACGAATTGTTTTATTTTCATAAACGGTTTTATTTTTATATAATAAAATGGATCTTAACTGAATAATATAAATACATACGTAAATAAAAGTCGATTGCTAGCGTATGCCAGTAAAATTTATTCAATATAATTTAATTACAAAAAAAAATTAACGGGTGATATTTTTATTATTTCGATATAATGAATTTTGTCTTGTGTTCTACATAAAAGTAAATTGCTGACCGTAAAAGTAAACTGCTGGACCCATGGTTTAGTTGTAGGGAGGATTTTGTCTTGATCGCCACACAGGCGGATTAGCTGTTGCATTACCACATTTCTCGCGCCTTTAACGCTTCTCTAGGTATTTATGGGAGCATTCTCGTTTACTCCTAGGTCCTAACGCATGGGAGCGTTGGGAACCCTAGGAGTAAACGAGATTGTTTCACTCCTGTCGGAAGCCATGTGATCTTTCGCTCATCTACAGTCGCATAGTACGGAACCATGAATGAAATGGCATTAAAATTGAATCTTAAGTTCATATTTCTTAGTCTTAAACTAAACTTTTCATGAACCTTTCATAAATTTAAGAATATCGTTACCATTTTCGTTACAGTCTAATAAAAGTTCATTGCTAAACATAGGCCTCCCCTATAGATTGACTCAAAAGGGAGACATTTGCCACAGTTGCCACGCTTAGCAAGCGGGTTGGCAACCGCAGTTTTTAATTTTTTAGTTGTTATTAGATAAACGTTACTGATCATCTCCTGGTTTGTTACCTCTTACGACACTCAAAGAACGATATGGGATATTGGATATTTAGCACGGTATTTAATCCTACAGTATACCCATTCGGTTTAAAGTAAACATTTTATATACAACATGATGGTCCTTCTCATTTCTACACTTTAAATGCATTAAATACAAATTTTTAAACTTTAACAATTGTATTTCATTGTGTTGTAGATCTTCATACGTTTTTGTGTGTTTTTAAAATACAAAAATAAACAATGTTTTGCTACTCGTATTTAGAAATATTTTGTATGACCTATTTCAATGTAAATTAAATGAAAAATTACAAATTGCATTATGTTTACGTACATAAACATGATGGTGTAAATATCGATGTTTTTTTAAGCCATTTAATCTCGTATTCCAAACACTTTAATGGCAGTAGGGGAGACCGAAGGGAGTTGAAACAATTTCCAAATGGACAGTTCGTAGTTTATAAGTTGGTTTAAGTGAGAAAAAAGTGTTTTGTGAGCTTAAGATTGGTGAATCTTGTTCAGAACTTCTTAGAACAATTAAAATGTTTATTTAAATATGTTTAAAAGTCATAAAGATTATTGTATAACCTAAAACTACGTTATCGTCCTTACTCTCTCGAGGCCACGCTAATCATTAGTCTATAGGTTTCTCTGTCCACGGCATCAGAGATGTTTTGGCAGCAACCTCGTACCTACGCCGTTTTATCGGAGGCGCACTACAAAGAATCAGGGTTGTTCTATCAGCAATAACGTTGCTTTTTCTACAATCTTCTAAACAAGAGGAATTAAACTTAGGTAACGTGTATGCATCAATTATTTATAAAGATAGTATAGCCATCAAGATGATAAATAGTTTACATTATTAATTTTAATTCGATGTTGTTTGTTTTTGATGTTTTTTTATTATTATTATTTAATTGCATGTCTGCGTGATGAGATTAACAAAACGGCTTAAGTATTTCAAACCCTTATATTACCATAGCATTATAAAGATTTCTGTAATTTGTTTGTTTGTAGAGCGATTATAGGTTTGCAATTTATTGTTATTTATACTGGTTTTGCTTGTAATACTTGAGCCTACATTATGTTACCGTTTTAATAGTTATGATAATAAATAACAACTTTAATATTTAATGTTTATTCGATTTAACATTTCGTACAAAATATTTAAAGTCACATAAAACTTATTCATGTGCTTAAAGTAATATTTATTGGATTTAAACGTTAAAAGACAAATAATGTGATATATTTCGTGGTTAATGTAATAAAAAAAATGTGATTTTGTATTGGAATGCATTTAATTTTTTACATACCTACTAATAATATACCAATGAAGCAACGAAGGCGATATTTCCTTATCGTGAATAATTTATAAATAAACTGCTGCAAAAAGTATTCGAAATGTACAAATCGATTAGGTAAGGTATGTATTTAAATGGATAATATTTGTTTCGAGTCCTAACGAGCCACCAGCAAACCGGAGGGTAGTAGCAATAGTACGTTTCTTCCCGATACAGAACTGACCGTCATTTATTGCAATCGGCACACGTAAAAACAATCGTCGCTCACTACTTAACTCACACCTAACAATTAAAACAATATACTAACGTGACAGCGACAACTCGCATACAGTGGCTCGACTGATCTGCATATTGCATGAGTGCGAGCGGGCTGTTAGTAAAAAAACCAAAACAATACAACCGTTATTATTTTAATTTTTAAGTTTAAAAAGCGGAAATAAATAGCATTAATGTAATTGTAAATTTGACGTGGTAGAGACATGCTGCAGTTATATTTTACGTGGTAGAACCATGCTGCAGTTTGCAGCATTAGAAGTATAGTTGTAGCACGAATGGGTCGGATCGACCGGAGAAGGACCACGCTCTCACAGTATACTAGCGTAAAATAGTAGCTTAATGCTGCTGTGTTTCGTATGGTGAGTGTAGAGAACCGGAGAACCTTTTTACTGGAAACGGGGCATTCCAACTTAGCCCTCACGGGTGACAACGCATCTGCATTTTGATTCGTAATCGAGGATAGATGTAGATGTCTATGGGCCGCAGCTACCACTTACCATCAGGTAGACTGTGCTCGTTTGTCGCCCTATTCTATATAAAAAAAGATCTCTTTTTTCAGCAAAAAACTGCATGATTCGGCATTTTTGTAGGACGTCGATCCAGCCGCTCAAATAGATATAGTCTAGTTACGTAGTAGTATTATTTATTCTATGGTCTAGTGAGCTGTGCGGCTGCAACTCGTTTTATTGTACGCACAGGACCGCACGGGCTGACCGATGGGATACTTTGATAGAGGCGAACGCCTTTGTATGGCCACTCCCCTCCGGTCCGCCGGTGGTTCGTATTGCTCCATGTTTCGAGTACGTAATAGTATTACGTACTTGGGTAAGGAGGTTGTAATTTAAATGTGTTGTTAATGGCAAACTTATTTATTATATGAGAGGACGGGTAAATGTAATACAGCATTTTTTGACTTAAAAGTTTATTCATTTATGTAGGCAGGTATAAATGCATTTTGGGAAAGTTAAACATAAATTACTAATAAAATAATTGAAATTAACATTCTTTTACTTTCATAATCCTTTTTAACACTTTCCCTCACAAATGCAAACTCCTTCAACAGTTCATTTGACAGCCATAACAAAATATCAGAGCGATACATTTGTACCGCTTAATAATATTCTTATAGATACGACAATAAATAAAAACTAAATCTAGTAATGCTACATATATCTATTTACAACCATATTTACATAAAAGATGATTCAGATTACGTTTTTCAGTCTTGTTTTAGAGTTAATGCATTGTGCATTACAATTAATGATATTTTTAGACAAACTAAATCCAAAAAAATAAAAATAATTTATTTTCCCTTCGTGCTGTTGCATTTAAACTTTTAATATTAAAATTATCTTGAGTATAAGTCCAGTTTACAGCTTTGTCATTACAATACTAGCTACAACTTTTATGCATAAAGTCTTTCACTTTTTATGTGTATATATGTAACGATTTGAATTTTGTAACATATTAAATATATTATATACCGTAATAATTTAACACCTATATATCGAATGTCGACAGTAAACCGGTGTCTATTCGAGAACATTTTGCCTAGAAAATTTTATATTGAAGCGTGCTTGGTTACAAAATCGGTGACTGTCACCTCAGTACAATATATGGCACAATATAATTGAAGTCTTATGTTAATAATCTTAAACGACTCCCGATTTATTTATAACGTAAGGGGACAACTTGTCCTACATAAAGCCCTA